TCACTGGACCTAACGCCTATGGACTTCTACCGCTGGGGAAGGTTCGAAGATCTTATTTTCGAATTGCCAACCAATTCTAGATATGTATTGTGAGCGGCAGTGATGCAAAGTCTCGCTTTTCTCACCCCTATTGAACTGATTATTTCGACAAAAACGTTTAGAAAAGAAATATATTTCATTGTTTGTTCTTTATCGTCATTATTATTATTGTTGAAGTTTCATTTATTAGTAGTGAATAAACTATGAATTGTCATCAGTTTTATTGAAACTATGCTTTTTAATTACTGCTGTGAAAAGCTTTCTCAACATTTGATAGCTATCACTGAACAATTTTTTTCTGTTTTATCGTCGTATCGTCCAAAGATCACTTAATAAAAGTGTGCGTTACAAAGTCAATATCACTAGCAGAACATCAAATGTGCTACATTATTGGAAAATTATTTTAAGCTCTATTGGAATATGCAGGAATATACAGAGTGTCTCACTGAAAAAAATAGTTTTCCATCAATGACTATTGGTATCTCGTTTGAAAAANTCCATTTTCGTTACAAAATGTAACAGTTCATGAAATATTGGAAACCATCGATTTTCATTATGTACTTTCCAAGGACTTTTTTGTGTGCACGTTTGCATTAAGGTGAATTATATCCAATCGAGTAATTTTTGACCTTAAGAATAAGTGGTTCAATTTATGACCTACCTTTTTGTTAAACCCATGAAGAGTTCGAAAAAAATTATTTGGTCATCTACTACCTGGATTGATTTCTTGGTATTTTTGCAAAATTCAAAACGTTTTCATATTTTTTTAGTTTTTTAAGACAATGCTTATTGTCAAGATTCATTCAGCATTACTGAAAATATAGTTTGATCGTTTTTTTTTCGTTATTAAAAATTTTGTGTATGCCTGTTTTCTACGCAAAGCCATTATGACCGGAGCATGCATCAGTACATGTGCTCATACTACATCAGTAAATCAACTGATGTACTGATGAGGAGTTGAAGACAAATTGAAACTTTGGAACATCCCTGAAGATTGAAAGTTTTCCTATATAAATAATGTCTCATATTCTCGTATTACGATAGGTAGCTTGCCTGTGTACGACATTGTTTCGGTTTCATTACGAAACTGAAAAAAAAATTCGTATGGTTCAATACTCAAATATTCAAAATCAGTTGTTTCGGTAAAATTTTTCTTCCAGTTTATATATGAAAGAAGCTTTTGTGCATGATCTAGACATCTTTGTGGAGAGGTTTGATTACGTATTAGAGTGGAAAGTTTGCATATTTTTCCCCAAAAGTATCTTTATTGAAAAACTATATTCATTATTATCTTCATTCAAGATAGTCTATTGGTAATTTTACTAATATTTTGAGCAACATACTGATATATTTTTCACCAACTTTCACAAAACTTTTGAAGTATATAAAATGCACGTATTTTTCATGCACGTATTTTTCAGGTTATCTAGATAATGAATGTTTTCAAATATTTATTTTTCTGTATGAATGTTTTCTAGAATTAAACTCAGACATTACAAATTGTATCATGTGTTCGTTTGAAATGAAGTCGACTGGAAGGTATTTGTTATTTGAAAATGAAAATTGTTTAAATTTCACCACGATTCACAGGTATTGTAGAGTAACTGTGCCAATAAAATATTTCGTGTACAAAATGTTCAATTCTTTTGCAAAATTGCATTTTCTCAATAATTTGAAATTTTGACATCTCAAATAAAAATCATTCAGATGACGATCACGAATACATACTTTTTGAGCAACTCCCATGGCATGGTTGGACAAGAGCCTTACATCAAACCACCAGTGGTAGCAATCAGAATGTGAAATCTACAAGATTGGGCCTTTGAAACCTCAACAACTGATTTGAGTGGATGCAGAGGTTTTTATGTTCTCACAGAAAGGGGCTGACATTTGGCGAATCAACACCGCCATGTACAAAAACAACCACTCATATTCTCGATATGAAAATTTTAGTTCTCCAACATTGGAAATATTTGCTCAATTCAACCGACCTTGTAGGTCTTACTGTTTCCGCGATAGCAATAATAGGACCAAAATTATAGATATACAGCTGATATATATGAAAGAATAATAATGAGAAGCCAATTGAATGCCATTTGGAGGGTTAATACATGACTAATTATACAGTGGATATTGTTGTTCCTTGTTGTTATAATTTTTATGTTATTATTTTGAATCACAGTAGGAACACTCATACTGGGAATTGTAAGGGATACTGCACATGGCATGAATGAAAAGGTTCTGTATCACCAATTTCACCAAAATCCTTTTACAGTTTAGGGGCAAATGTTTTCTTCTATGAACTCAATAGCATCGTTGAGATAGTATAACATTTCATATTGTGGCATTGATTTGAACATTTTTGTAACTTGTATCAGTATTTACATTGAAAAATATTTGAGCCCGAAAAATGTAACGGGTTTTTACATATAATTATGAAATTAGAGCATACTTTTGCTAATGAAGGGGGAGACACATGTTTCAGTTATTATGCAGATATCCAAACAAGGGTTACATCTTCGACAACAAGAATTTTTATGGAAATCCAGTTCATATTAAGTTTGCGTTGATGTTAGACGTTAGACAATACGAATTTAATTCCTAAAAAAACACAAATGCTACTTTCATTTAAGAAAGCGAATGGCCGATTCAAATTTGGGAATTTTCGCCGACTGACTTCTTGGTTGTCAAATTGTGAAAATTTGGACACACTTCAGCAACTTTATAAAACTCAAATTAGTTCTTCATTGAAATATGGCTCCCATCGTTTATTTACCAGATTTGCAAAATATATTATTTCATTCCACTAAATTTCATAACAGAAAGTAATAAAACTTTCAAAACCCAACTCAAAAACCCTTTGTTCAGGACTTATCAGTAGGTTTTCATTCATTATTTTCACATACTAAGGATGAACACTGCCCCTTTCACCAAAAACTGTATAGGCACTTTTTTTATCTTATCAATAGGTATTTTTCAGGGTTTAGTGGGAGAACAACAGAGTAGCACTCTCCGCTGCCAAGTTGAACTTAGATGTCAAAGGAGTTTCGAAATATGAAATTATGTCAATGTTATTGATTGACAACTGAAACATTTGATGTAATACAAGGTGCTCTCTGATATCAGTCTGTTGCCATTTCGCCACTATCAAAATTTTTCCTCAAGATGGGTAGCCAAGTACGGTCTATTTCTAGGATTTTCTATTCGAAATACAATTCTCTCCAGGTATGAGAATATACGCTGATTCTTTTAGCTTATGTCTCTTGGAGTGAGGCTCATTGGTAATCATTCTTGTCCTATTCCATTCCACTCGATGTTCACCATCTGATTTTGAAATGTGTTCTGACAATTTAGATCCTGTTAATTGTCTATTTTTTATGTGATCTCGATGTTCATTCTCACGCACTTTCAATGGTCTCGAGGTTTCACCAATGTAACTTTTACCACAAGAACAAGGTATTTCATATATACAATTTTTTGTTGTTTTTTCTCCAGTGTTGTTGGGTTTTGTATGTGTGACTATAGATCTCAGTGTATTTTTTGTTTTGGAAGTAGTTCTAACGTCATATCTATTTGCAATTCGTCCTATTTTTTCAGGTAGTCTTGGAATGTAACGTATAACGTTAGTTGTGAAAGGTGTCGGTGGATGTTGAGTCGGTAATTGTTAAGTTGGATGTTGTTGAAATTGTGAACTGTTTGTATGTTCGTTTGGTTTTTAATTGACTCTTTATTTTCTATTGCATTTATCGTTGAATTTATGAACGAATATGTATAAGCGTTATCTTTCAAAACAGATTTAATTGATGATATTTCTTTATTGAGATTTCCAGTTGAATTGCATATCGTTTTAGCTGTTTTGTAAAGGCAATTTATTATACCTTTTTTAACACTCGCAGGATGATTCGATGTATAGTGAAAATATCTATTTGTATGTGATTTCTTCCGATGTACATTTGTTTTGAAAGATAACGCTTATCCAGATTCGTTCATAAATTCACATCATAAATGAATAGAAAATAAAGAGTCAATTAAAAACCAAAGGAACATACAAACAGCTTCACAAATTCAACAACATTCAACTCAACAATTACCGACTCAACATCCACCGACACCTTTCACAACTAACGTTATACCTTACATTCCAAGACTATTTAAAAAAAAAATAAGACGAATTGGAAATAGGTATGACGTTAGAATTACTTTCAGTGCATCATAAGTACTTTCAAAACAAAAAATACACTGAGATCTATACTCAAACATACAAAACCCAACAACACTGAATACCTTGTTCTTGTGGTAAAAGTTACATTGGTGAAACCTCAATACCATTGAAATTGTCAGAACACATTTTAAAATCAGATGGTGAACATCGAGTGGAATGGAATAGGACAAGAATGATTACCAATGAGCCTCACTCTAAGAGACGTAAGCTAAAAGAATCAGCGTATATTCTCATAACTGGAGAGAATTGCATTTCGAATAGCTACTTAGAAATATACCGTAAGTAGGTAGGTAGGTCTAAAGTGAGTAGGTCTATTCGACCCTCCACCGCAACTCATAAGGGTTTATTGTGGCTCATACCTATTCAAACTCGGCCAACTATACCAAATAGACCGTACTACCTATTCTTTGTGAAAAATCCTTTGATTTTTACGCAGTAACTTATCGGGGTGAACTAAAAAGTTTGCCCTTCTACACTTGTATAAAATTCTCCATTATAATTTTTATATTTTTCAGATTGTGGAAGGTAACAAATACCAAAAAGAAATCGATAAAAAACTGATTTTCCTCCACAAAAAATGACTTTCGTTGAAATTATTATTATGTTATTTTCAGTACATTCGGAAACTGATGAATTTTATCCAGAAATCTATTCATCTCATGTGACTTTCTGACTTATTTGTGAGAAAATAGTCTTGTTATCTCCCTTGAAATGTTTAATTTGATTTTATCATTTTCAGGTATGGGACTTGGTCTTCTGGCGTCGGGTACATTTTTGATCGTCAACGACTACTTCACTACTAAAAAAAGCACTGCTGTTGGCATATCGATGGGCGGTACGGCAATCGGGCAAATGATTATGCCAACATTTATAGGAATGTTGTTGAAGAAGTACGGATTCAGTGGTACCACCTTTGTTCTCGGTTTCGTCAGCTACTCGGGAATCATTGGGGCCATTTTTTTCAAGGTGATCTTTTTTGTTCTGATTTGAAACTGATTCAGAAAAAAGAAATGGTTAAATCTATTCATTAGTACGATGTTTTATATTTGGCTCCTTGAAGATGAACTGAGATGATTCTTCAGGAGGACCAGCTCCTTTCGACTCACCTTGACTTTCTTTTATACTAGAAGTTGGAAAAAACTTTCTTATTTCGCGTTGAACCCCTTCTAAAAATTGTTCGATATTTCCGAATCGACTTCAAAGCCATTTTAAACAACTGAAATGGAGTTTTGTGACGCCAAGTTCTTAATATGCTTACTCTCAAGGCCTCATCATTGGTCTTCGCAAGCATCTCAATCTGTTTACTCCAAAGCGAGGAGGAATTGGATAGTGATGTTTTTTTGCTGATATGATGATTGTCTGCGAAGAAAAAGTGACTTGGTTGACGGCTGGCGTGCTTTTGAAACGGACATTTTGATTTTGAAGAAAAAGCGACAGTTCCCAGCGAACTGTCCTTTATGATAGAAGAGATTGCAACTTCGCGCGGTGCGCCCTCAGATGAGTGCATGTTATTCTTTTGTGTAATTGAGGAGGATAGTGATAGACTAGAAAATACTGTACTTTATTTTGAAGCAATCAGCGGTAGGCATGCATTAGAATCCAAACATTTTGACACTTCAACAGCGGCAGATGTATTGACGTGTGCCTAGAAATAAATGTTTGTAATGGAATGAAGATTTTTGGTACATAATGTTCATAAATAATATCACAGAAGGTCACAAAAATCATATACTTTCCTGGCGTATCTGCTTTGAAGATGTGATGAAAAAAGTAACCTATGTCAAAAATAAAAAAGCAATGATTTCGAAATTGTGTATAAAATTGTGAAAAGTTATACACATTTCAGTATCTTGCAAGCTGTCCATCCCTTTTATGGCGACTTCTTGAGTTGAGATGTCATCGTCCTCACTTACTTAGGCTCGTCCTTCAAGGACAGCTGAGTACAGCAATGCATTTGTGGTTCAACCTAGGCAGCATTGATGAAACATGACGTGTCGAAATGGTCCTGAATGTGTTGGGCTTGGGTTTTGGTTTTGCAGAGCCTATCTTCCACTGTCTTGCTGTGGAAGATAGAAGACGAATTTTGTCGGCGGTCGATGACAAAGCTTGGCTTTGCACTACTTCAAAATAATGCTCAGTATTTACTACTCTATCGCAATCCTATTCAATTACATTGCATGCAGATGCAATGCTTCCATCGAACGGGAAAGTTTTTCTCGAAATTCTCTGTCGAACATTTTTACTCTCATTTCCATAAAGCTCGAAAACCGCCATTCAGGGCAAACTTTTCGAAGACTACCCTATATCATCGTGTTGGCAACGAATCAATGTTCATTTTGATATATTCATCAAGGTGATAACTGTGAATTATATGTATCGACTCACCTATTTATACCTGCCAAAACAAGGAAAAAAATAGCCTACCCAATATTTGTATACAACGTGCGGCACCGAAAATAAAACAAATCGAATATCTCAACACATACTCATTGAGAAGAAATTCAAAAACTGGTCATTTTTCAAATGAAGGGGGACTGCTATCTATCATAATGTCAACCGTCATCTCTTCCTCCTCTTCTTGATAATAACCATAACTCTCAAAATTTGAATAGGGGAAGTATTTAGTGTGATACATCATCAAAAACGATAATTTTAGAAGGAAATTCACCAGGTGAAATTGCATTTTGGCGCCACTTCAGAGAAAAAAACAGTATCAATTGACTCCACAAATTTACCATAATATCAGACGTGTCCTAAATATATTCGATCGGTTTCGTTTTCAGTGATGCAGACTGTTTTTGTAAAGATTGGTATGAAATTTATTTTCGACCAGATATTTTTCTCGGGAGAATTTATCTGGTTGAAGCTGGAATGATTCTGCAACCGTGTTAGGAATCACACGTTAAAAGGTAAGACCTCGTTAGTCCTTAGCTCGCACAAGTTTATCAACTTCTGAGAGTTGTTCGTATGGGGGCGACAGCTGATTAACGGAAAAACAGAATAGATTTCAAACTTCTTCTTTAACTAGCTCTATCACCTTCTTATCAAATTTTGGAAAATTTGTTCAACGCCTGATGCTTTGTTTCAATTTTCCCCAAATCAACTCGATGGGATTGAAAACACAAAAATACGGGGGAAGTCTCAATATGGTGTGTCCATACTTTTCAGCAGTAATCTCAAGGGCATACACTTTTTCAAATGTTTTTGTCTGTAAAACTTCAAGTAGTTGGTTTTTGGTATAGTTATCTTCAAAATACAAATTGTTATCCATTAAATAACTTTGTATTTCATCTCTTCTTGAATTTTTATTAGGAAGCGTTGTCAAGAACTGTTACATTATTCGCATCCAAATTTGGGATCAATGTGTTTTCAAATTATTTCTAAAAAATGTCAGCTTCCATGTTCTTATGATAGTCAACATTGCAATCCCCAAGTTTTCTCCCACATAATTTCAAAGAATTCGGAACCCATATTTTACTTCCTCCGCAATGCACAATGATTAGTCGCGATCCTTTGTTTGCAGGCATGTTAGGCGTACACATTCTCGAACCATCAGTCCACCCTTTCGTAACAGTGTCGTGAGTGTCATACCAAGTTTCGTCCAAATAGAAAATTTGCCGTTGTTCTTGTCTACATTTAGTTATTTTAAATCTAGTTTCTTTATCCAATTCTGAAGAGTTTTTTCACAGCAGATCACGTTATGGCCGGAAGTATTTAATTTCTTCCTTATGATTTCAATTTTAGGAATCTCATTGCTTTTGTAACAGTCGAATATTGTTTTTTTAATGATTTTATTAGATGAACATCTAAAGGTTTTGGTAATCCCGCATCAAATCTCGTCTTGCGTTCATAAGGTTTGTTTTTTACGTGCAGTCGACAAAGGAATTTCGGTCAAATCTAATGTTGCTTGTAATAGTTTTTTCCCTCGAAACCAAACTTGATATGTAGATTCTTATATACATTGAAACGTACTCTCTTTGTTTCAATATTCAAATGCATCCGAATCTTATTCACTGGTATCTCTTTTTCGCATTGTTCACCAGCGCTATTGGAATCACTATACAGGAAAAAGTCTGCGTTGTTATCATACTCGTTATTACTGTTAGTACTTGTCTAAGGACACCACATTTTAAACAAATAACAAAAATTTTGTGTAATTATAACTTCACCAATATCGAATTTGAACACTTAAATCGCGATCAGTTCCTGAACTGAACATTGACAACACGAGTCTTCTAACCATCCTCACATTCTATTGGTCACCGTAACATGACTTCAAATTTCATTTTATGACTCTTCAGTCAATCATAAAACTCGGTTAGTAAAAATAATCCAAAATGAATCGTCAATTCTTCACTCCTCGTGGACTAATTCGTCCACGGCATTATTTCTTTGTATTGGTTTTTTTGGCCTTTGAGTTCGCCGATAGCTTTAAGAATTACTATATCGGTTACTTCGACTATACATGGCGGGATCAAACTTGTAACAGAGGCTTGATACGTTTTTTTCACTCAAAAAATACGAGTTCGAGAACAACATTTTCAGGGACATAGCTGAAAGCAAAGGATATCCTTAAAACATAATCGATAAGTTAATTGGAAAATGTGAATTTAGCGAGTAATTCTCGATTTTCTGGAAAGTTAAAGAGTTAAAATCCATTGTTGCTCCATATTAACCCAGATACATTACTGAACATAAAGTAAACTATGTGAGAGCTATTGTCCGGTTTTTTTGGCCGCGGTGTGCAGGTTTTTATGCCTGAAGATTCATCTACTACTGCGGTAGACATTATTAAAAGCGATATGCTAACGCAGAAATTGCGACGCTGGTATTTGACTTT